TGCTTATGTGGTGCTGAGGAATCGAACCCAGGGCCTCGAGCATGCAAGGCAAGCACTCTACCACTGAGCCACCTTCCCAGCCCAACAATGCTTTCTTCATAGGTTGCTTGGAGGAATAAATGTTGAAATTTATTAAATGGACTAGACATATATCTAGTAAATTTCAGAGCACTGAAATGTAGTTCATGTTGATGAGATGTTGCAGAAGTTTGTTCAAAGGCACCTTTCTAGTGAGATCTAAATTTAAAATCTTATCAGTTCTACTGCAGACCTGCCAGATCATTAATCATTAGACCCTTAACCTCTCTGAGCCTGGTTTGTCACTGGTAAATGGGTATAACACCAGAGCTCCTACACAGTCACCCTATCAAATGCTATTTCAGAGCCCAGCTCATGGTAAAGATCAGCTGGTAATGTGCTGCCTCTGTCTTTACATCCTAGCTATGGAATATACACATGTATACATTTGTATGCATAATTGTATACCACACCTATGCTATATATAATGTAGAACAGTATAGATCTATAATTCCTCTTAAACAGTTTTCCTAAAATCCTAGAACTGCAGAGGAGTTCAAAATATATTTTTATGAACTTGGTCCCATTTTTTTTCAAAAAAGGATTGGATTGGTTTCTTAGATAATTAAAAACAGTTTCCTTCTTCATTTTATATTTTTAACATCCTGATGGTTTTAAGTGTGTCTTTACTCAATAAAGTAGTTCATCTGATGTTTCAAAATTGCCTTATAAATACTTTTTCTTCCACAATTATAGATTGACTATAATTTCAAATTTGTATCACAGAAGGAAGAAAAGAGACAGACAGAGATGTGATGGTATGTGTGTGTGTGTGTTTTATTTTTTGGTGTGTGTGGGAAAGGGTGTGATGTCATCTTGTCTCCACCCCTTGTGAGTAAGCCCACAGCACAGCACAGTGCAGCCGCCTGGCTCTGTCACTGGAAGACAGTCTACTTAAATGCAGCTCCAGAGCTGTGAGGCGTCCACCAGCATCACTCCCCGTGTGAGGTGGCCAATGCAACATGCTCTCCAGCTTGGGGTGTCTACTTCTCTGTGGAAGTATTGCACTTGCCCTGGGAAATGCACAGAAATTGCCAAAAGGCAAGTAGTTCTGATGTTTTATGTTTTAAAAGTAATACTAATGGATGTGTTTAACTGTTATATATTAAATATGATATGCTTCTCAATATGAAGGGGTAGGGTTATAGTGCAGGAAGGCCAAGTAAAGGGTGGGGGTGTCTCTTAAACTTTTACTTTCCCCGTGATTACTTTTCACTTTAGCACAACTTTTTCTTATGTTCAGAGGAACCTGAATGGTATCATATGGAAGTACAGTATTTGTATCTTGAGTGATATTGTGTAAATGGGTTTTTTTTGGGGGGGTTGTTAGAGAGTTATGTGGTGCTTTTATGCTCTTCCCCACAGACTAAGCCAGTATTCTCTTATGGTTTTTTTTTTTTTAAAGCTAGTTCTGAAACTGGAACTCTTTGGTATAAATCTCAAATGTACCTGTTCATCAGGAGGCTGAGGGAGTCCAGGCAGGTCCGACCCAAATACAGCCCTGAAGCAAGCAGCAGGCACCTCTTTGGGGGCGTTTGGGAGAGAGATTGAGCAGAACGGGACACTCCCCCTCCTTCTTTTCTAAAATTGCTCTTATTTTAGTGTTGGTATTTTGTTTACAAATGTCATCCGAAAGAAATTAAAATTTGTAAACTTAGACTCCACAAGCCTCCCTTCTGAGTCCATGAACACCGGAACATGCGGCTCTTGCCTCTGTCCCGTCTGAGCATAAATGCGGCATGTAGTTTGGTTCCTGTGCAGAGGCACTTTTCTAAGCCAACTCTAGGTCTGCAAAGGCTTTTTATGGCTGCAGACTGCAGTAGTCAGCAGGATTATGAAAAACAGACTGGAATTTACCATACAGTTATGATGGAAAAGATTGGACGTAGTACAGAGCATAGTGTGCACAGAGTCAGAAAGAAAAGTTGTGCATGTTGGAATATCCAAAAGATTGTGTCTTTAACCTCTCTCTGGTGAGTTCACTTCAGATCATTTTGTCTCTTTTTGAAAAGTGTCCTTTTGTCACTGGATAAAGTGAAACTTGAATCTAGAATGAGAATGTTGAACGAAGCATTTGGCTGAATGGTCTTTCACTTGATGATTTGAAAAGCAGTTACAACAACAACAAAAACCTAAACTAATCTTCTCAACTAATGATGCAAAGAATAAGTCAAACAAGCACTCTTAGATCTTTTCTTTTCCTTCTACCAAGAATTTTGTTCCCTGATCACAGTGAGTGATTTAAATCACAGTGTGATTTAAATAAACTGTGCGCCACAGACATTCAGAATTGGTTGGTCAGATTGATGAAGGATTTAATGGCCACATGACATTTGGCATTTTTTTTCAGTCTCAGTACTTATAGATGATTTGATGTGATTTTTGTATTTGCTGGGTAGGAACAAAAGCCAACATTTAGTTACTACAAATTTCTGTGAATTCAAAAAAAAAGTGCTTTAATTAAAATGTGCAATCATGGAGTACTCATTTCTTGGTACAACTTGCCTTTATTTGTAATGGTAAAGACAAAAAAACAGCAGTCAAAAATAGCCATAAAACTTTTGCATATTTTTATTGTACTGTTCATCAGATGTGTTTTTAGTTGGGCTTCTTTTGTAAATTTAAAACAATCCATAATTTCGGTAATTTGAAAAATGAAACTCCATCAGATTGTAAGTGGCAAGTTTTTTTGTATTTAATACTTTTTCTTTATTATGGAAGATACTGAATAACTTTTTTTTTTTTTAGTTGAAGCCACCTTAGTCAAATTGGGTTCCAGGAAAAGGTGCATTGTTATACAGTGGATGAGAGAGGAGAAAGGCAGCATATTTGTTGTCATTGTCCCTGAGCCTCTTTGTACCCAAGGCTAGCACTCTACCACTTGAGCTACAATGCTTTTACTGGAGATAGGAATCTCATGTATTTTCCTGCCCAGGCTGGCTACAAACTGAGATCCTCAGATCTCAGCTTCCTGAGTAGCTAGGATTACAGGTGTGAGCCACTGGTACTTGGCTGATGCTTTGTCTTTTGTGGGGGAGTCACAATAGATGTTAGCATTTTATAGGTTCTGACCTTTTCTCAGTTAAGAAATTTGCCCTGTTTTTTTTTAACCCATTGTTTCTGAAAAACATTTGGTGGATAATTCCACTTATCCATAGAAAGCTAAAATGTCAGCTAGGCACCGGTGGTTCATGCCTGTAATCCTAGCCTACTTAGGAGGCTGAGATCTGAGGATCATGATTCAAAACAGGAAAGTCCATGAGACTCTTATCTCCAATAAACCACCAGAAAACTGGAAGTGGTGCTGTGGCTCAAGTGGTAGAGTGCTAGCCTTGAGCTGAATAGCTGAGGGACAGTGCTTAGGCCCAGAGTTCAAGCCCCATGACCGACCCCCCCCCCAAAAAAAAAGTAAAAGAAAGCTATAATGTCTTCTCATAGGCTTGTCCATCATAAAACACATTTGAACAATGGGTTGGCTAAAAAAGAAAAATAGTTCTCTTTCTTTTTTTTTCAATTTTAAGTTAGTTAAGTATTACTTGTGATTTAAGAAGATAGAATCTGAGAGCTAGAAAAGGCATTAATTTTTTTATAATATCTACTGATCCAGAACTTTGGACTTATGGACCTCTAAAAATACACATATATTTCAGTAGCAAAGCTCTATTATGTGGCTCATTGTTGGAACTTGCCATGTAAGAATGCTCAAAGTGAGGAAAAATCCTTATGGTTTATAAAAACAAATTAAGGATTTATAAAGAAGTGAATTTAATTAGACAAATGAGTTCATCATCCTTATTCTGATGGTTAAAAACTTTACCTCAGGCCAATTCTTGGAAAACACTGTCCTAGTTCAACCACTTACCTTCTAAATAAGGATACCCAGACTGGGTGTGGTAGTTCACATTTATAATCCTAGATATCTGAAAAGCATCCATAGGATTGCAATCAGAGGCTGGGCCTGGACAAAAATTTAAGACACTACTTGAGAAATAACTAAAATAAAAATGGTTGAGGGTGTGACTAAAGTGGTAAAGTAGGTACCTACCTAACAAATTTGAGATCTTGCATTTAAAACCAAATACTGCTAAAAAGAAAAAAAAAGCACTCAAGGCAGGGGGGAGATTTAGGGACTTCCCAAGTTAGCCACAGAGCCAGGATTGGGTACTAAGTATCTGGTTCAGAATCCTGCTTCTTGTCTGGTAAGAAGGCTCTCATTCAAACCTCAGATTCTGTTCTACAGTATTCCTGAGAATGCTATCCTTCCATTGACAAAAAATATTTCTTATACAACTCTAAAGGCTCATCTTAGTTACTAAGAATATATAAACATGTACACACACACACACACATACACACATATTTGGTTATTTAAAAGAAATCATTTTTAAATATATATTTTTATTGTAAAGATACTGTACAGAGGGGTACAGTAAGGTAATGAGTAAGGTAATGAGTACATTTCCTATTGAGCATTAAGAAATCACTTTTTACATATCATATATCTATTTGCTTATCTACTCACCTTATTTTTTTTTTTGTTGTTGTTGTTGGGCTTGAACTCTGTGCCTGGGCGCTGTCCCCCAGCTCTTCAGCTCAAGGCTGGCACTCTACCCCTTGAGCCACAGCGCCACTTCTGGTTTTCTGGTAGTTAATTGGAGATAAAAGTCTCATGGACTTTCCTGCTTGGGCTGATTTTGAATCGTGATCCTCATATCTCAGCCTCTGAGTGGCTAGGATTTACAGGGCACTGGCACCCGAGTCACCTAACTTGTTATAAAAACAAGTTGTTAGAATTTTTTCTTACCTTTTTTTTAAGTTTAAAGCTAGAGACTATTGTCAGTGTATGTTTTATTTTCTTCACAACTTAAGATGGTATTGTTTGCAAGAGATTGAACTTTGTTATGCCTCAGGTTTTTTTTTTTCACCTAAAAAATGGAAAAGAAACTGGGTGCTGACTGCTCATTCCTGTAATCGAATTTTTCAGGAAGCTGAGATCTAAGGATCATGGTTAAAAGTCAGCTCAGACAGGAAAGTGTGTGAGACTGTTTCCACCAAACTAGACTATCTCCACCAAACTACCAGAAAAGCTGTATGTGGAGCTGTGACTCAAATGGTAGATCTTTAGCCTTGAGCAAAAGCCGTTCCTTACAGCATAGCACCCAGGCTCTGAGTTCAAGCCCCAAGACCAGCAAAAAAAAAAAAAAAAAAGGAAATGATATCTAGTGTACAATATTTTAAGGCTGAATGAAATACAGCTTTTAGTGCTGAGTCTGATGTGATATGTATTCAATAAATACTTGGTCATAAAAATGTGGTTTAAGGCTGGCCACTAGTGACTCACGCCTTTTATCCTAGCTGCTCAGGAAGCTGAGATCTAAGCATTGCAGTTCAAAGCCAGCCCAGGCAGGAACATCTGCAAGACTCTCATCTCCAATTAACCACCAGAAAACTGGAAGTAGCACTGTGGCTTAAATGGGAGATCACTCATCTTGAGCTGAAGAGCTGAGGGACAGTGCCCAGGCCCAGAGTTCAAACCCCACATCCAACAAAAGAATAATGTAGTTCAAAGTTGAAAATACACACACACCAAACAATGTATGACCTTACGTTGAGAACTATTCCTTTTTAGAATCCTTATTCTGCGTACTAGAAAATTTTCTTCTTCCATGGCCTATGTGCTAAAGTTACAAACTCAGCGATATGGGGTGAAGGTGCTAATAAAATCTTATAAATGAACATCAGATGGACAAACCTCTGTACTGAAACTCTTATGTGTGGAAGATGATAATTAGCCCAAAAGCAAAGGGTACTATTACTTAGTGAGAAAATATATGACACTTCTGTGAGGAAAATCACAGTTTCCAAGATACAAGTATAATAATATGGCCCACGGGCATGTGGTTAAGGAAACTAGCTCCTTGTCTATTACTCCAAGGTTGGGAATTATTAACTACTACCACTATTATTCAGTTATTCTCATAAAGAACATTCCTTGAGCACATACTGCATATGGTCATTTAGTGCTGTCTGTTTTATTATCT